CGTAGATGCCGGCGGCAGTTTGTCCGCCGTCGTACAGGAGCGCGACCGCCACGATCGGTTGTTTCATTCACGCCATTCATTGCGTCTTCCCCATTTTTCCAGGTGCCGCGCGAATGAAGTTGACCGCTCTCCTCAAGATGCCGTCGAGCGCCCGCCAACGTCGTCGCAGAGAATCCGACGAGCCCGTGCGGCCGCCGCCCCGACTTCCGCGAGGTCGTCCGCCTTGGACCGTTTTGAGCCTTCGGCCAAAGGTGAGCGAGCGACAAATGGTTGGCGCGATGTGACCGGCGCGCCATGACGCAAAAGGCCGACGGGCCCGCGAGCGCGGTGGCTCGTCAAAGTTTGATACGAGGCGCCGTGATTCCGTCGACTCTTTGATTTCTCCGTGGCGCAACGCGGGCAAGCTGCGCGTGACAAAAGCCAAAAACGGCCTTGAATTGCCCCGAGTTGAAATGCCATCCTTTGGAGTTCCCCCAATGTCCGCGATCCTCCCGATTGGGAGAAGCGGCGAGAGGTCCCCCAAAAGCCAGCGGCCTTTGCGCATTTCAACAGCGACGGGCGTTTGCGGCAATCCCGATTCCTCTGGAGATGTTTGGACGGCGCCGGCGTCCTTCCGTTCCCGCGGCGCGCCCCCTCCCCCGCACCCCCCTCTTGCTTTTTATCTCTCCGTCTTGCCCGCTCTTTTGCCCGCTCTTCCCCTTTTGGCCGCCGTGCCGCGGCGGAGCCGGCAACAGTGACTCCATTGTGAACGATGGGAATCGGGCACCGGGCCAATGATGTCATCGTGCCACAGGGAAGCCCGGCGGGAACGCCCTCCTGGCGTGTCGCAATGTGCCATGGCTTTTTTTTCCCTGTTGTTTTCCGGAAGGCGGTGATCAGTTTAATTCCACCCTCGTCACTCCCTGCTCCGGGGCCGGGGGTGACGAGGGTGGGGGCGCCGGGAAAAGCGAGATGCGAGCCTTGAAAGGAGCAGGCACGGTCGGGCTTTTGTTTTCTCGAAACGTTGACTTTGTGAGCCGTGAGTCAACGGCTCACCGGGCGCGACCTCGACTCGGCCTCCGCTCGCAGTACGAGCGCTGCGGCCAAAACGAGATCGCTGCGCGTACGGCTTCCCAAGAGCGGAGCGCTCGTGGCCCATTCGAGGAAAAGCAACAACGCCAAGTCATTTGACCTGAACCACCTGCTAATCCATGGCAACCCCCCCGCCGCCGGTCTGAAAAAGGCGTGATTTGCGAGCCTCGTTTGAAGCCTAAAACGATTCTAGCGGGTGGACCGTTTTTTGCCGCGACGCGAGCCGCGTTGACTCGGCGCACTGCGGTGAACGGCGCGCGTCGAGTGGCCCCCCGAAATCTGGTGAAACGCGCGGGCGGCCGTTTGGAACGGGCTCGCGCGCTCCTCTCCCATGTGATCGATGGCGCCCGCCCGCCAGCCAGCAAGCCGCCAAAGACGCGATGACTGCGAATCGCAACGCGAGCTTTTCTCCGTTCCAACGGCATGGAAACTCGACGAAACGCTGCCACGCTTTGGAGACGATTGCGTCAGGCTGGCGGAGGGCTCGCAACGACTTGGACAAGCGCTTTCGTCGACCTCACAAACACTTTGATGCTGTTTACTGGCTATTTTGCCCCCCTCCCCCCAAAAAAAGAGATAAATAACCGAGCCATCATTTTGAGGAGGAGGCAAAAATGTAGAAGGGGCTTGAAACGTAGCGTTAACGGGAGACAGATTTTTGACAGGCTTCCCGAGCCATCTGCTTTGGGTTAACGCTCCGAGACGAGAATTGGGGGTGAGAAGAACGGGAGAAGGACTGAACAACATGGAGAGGGCAACGGGGGGAATAGAGAGAATGCAATATTGACAGGCAAGGCTGGAACGACATTGATTTGTGCTCCTAGCCCCCCGCCCCCCCCGCTTTAAATTGTTGTGGGACGGGGAGAAAGATGAAGAATTCCACAATGGCCACAATGCAAAAAAAAAAAAAAAGGCTCGTGTTTGTGAAGTTGAAGCAAGCAAATTCCTTGCAAATATTTGGGAGTAATTAGGGGAGCGACGTGACCGTTGCAACAATTTTCCACAATTGAATTCCTTCTCTTCTAGTCAGGCCCTGTGTTTTTTTTCTTTTTTTTTCACTGGGTTGATGTGCCTCCTCGCGCAAGCTGTCAGTCTCCCCGCCACCTCCCGCGTGCCATTTTGGCCATCCCCGGCGGGCATAGCCGGCCAGTCTGGCCAGGCCCGCCCCTTGCTGTGCCCCCGTGCTGGCTAAGCCCCGGCCGGCACCTTGGCTAGAGCCCTTTGTGTGCAGTCGGGGGGGTTTCCAGTGTGCGCGCGCGCGTTAGAGCATTGCCGGCCAAAGGGGAGGAGGGGGTCCCGTCCGTGCCTCAGGGCTGCATTGCAACGCAGCGCACCCTCACCGTGCGCCCTATTGAGAGCCGAGGGAGCGTGAACAATCACCGGCAAAGCAAAGAGCTAAGTCCCCTTGTTGGACAAGCCCAATTTTCCAGCGAGCTAACCCGGCCCCGCTCGTCAGAGCTTGACGGCCTTCGTTAAAGCGAGCCGGGCGGGCTCCTTTTGTGCTCTTCTTTGATTAGCCCGTCCGCGGTAAACTGCCGTTCGGCACCCCCGCCCGTCCTCCTCATCTCCAGATTCCCGCGCTGCTTCTTAGCCTTTTCCAAAACGTGCTTGGAGTTGAAATGGCTTTGGGCGTTTCTTGTCTTACCCGGGCGGAAAGTTTTCGTCTCCATGCGTCAAACGACCCCACGCCGTTGCGTTTGTTCCCCTTTCGAGCCTTGTACAATGGCCACCCGAGGAATCGGATGGACGCGCCGAATGAAATGGCAAAAAGTCCAGAAGGGGCGGAGCCGTTGCCGTCTTCTTTTTCTCCGGCGTCGTTCGCCCGACCTTGGCCAAAAGTAACTTAGGAGCCCGCTCCGAGTCCGCAGCCGCCCGCCGACCGGCATAGGATTGCCCTTCTCGGTGCGGCGCGGTGCGCGGGCCGGCGCGGCCAAAGCGTCGTCGCGGACGTGACGACGCCCCATGCCAAATGTCACGAGAAAAATGACATTTGCGCGCTTGTTGACGGTGCGACGCAAGTGGTTGAGCGCGCGTGCCCCCGGTCTCCTGAGAAGGGATGGTTTTGGAGGAATGCGCCCGACGCCGACTCCCAATCTTGTTTGCCGATCAGATCGACGGGCGGTGCTACGCGTGCCGGGGGGGAGTCCTGATTGTTCACTTCCCGAAGGAACTTGGACATCATGAAATATTGCGGGGATCCTCCACCGTGCACTCCTCCGCTCTCCGTGAGATTTGCTGGGGAACGGGGGGGGCGGCTCCCGCTCGCACGATGGACACCCGGCGCCCCGCGTTAAGCGGCTCGGCCCGACCGTCCACGCCGCCCACTGAGCACGCCGTAAAAAAAAAAAGTAGGCTGAAGTCAAAACGCCATCTGAAGTTGGGCAAGTCAACAAAATAGTTTCCGCAAAACTATGTGGAGAAAATTGTCTTTCCCCACATTTCGCGGCAAAGAAATTGTCACGACGCCCCAACTCAAAATGAGTCAACGCCATTCAGCATCTTGTTAGGGAGCAAACGACTTGCTTGCTTTGTTGTGGTAACTAACATTGTTGCCGTAAAAGTCGATCAGTTAGAAGTTGGGCCCACTTGAGGCCCCTCCCTATCCCCCCCTCCCAAAAAATGCAAGTTTGAGTATTTTAGGGCGTCCTTTCATCGCGTGGCAGCCGACGCACTCCAAAGAGTCGAGAGCATCAGGCGACTGCCGGATGAACGCCCTCTAGCGAGCAACCCGAGAGACTCTTCAACGGGGGCGGGGTGGGACGGCCCAAAGCGGACCATCCGAAACGCAATCAAGGAATTGACTTGCGAAGCTTCGATTTGGCCCCGTGCGATCCACGCGCACGCTCAGCATGGGAAAACGTCTCGGCGGCCATTTATAGCCCTTAATTGCGCGCCTATTTTGTGACCTCCGAGTTCACCGGGGCCAATTCCTGCGCGGATCAAATCCTCATGAACAAAGGTGGAATGCGAAGCTCCCCCCAGCCCCTAAACGTTTCTCCCATCCATCCATCCGTCCATTCATTCCTCCGTGGGAGCGGCGCATCGGGGCAGCGTATTGAAACTATTAGCGCGCATCTCCGTCGTCACTCGCAGAGTCAACTGGAGTCAGACTTGGCTTCCGGCGAACGGAGCCGCAAAGCGCGCCCGAGTCGGGAGCCGACTGACATTTTGCGCGTTGCGAGGGGAGGGCCCAAAGGGGGACTGTCAATCAGTGAGAGTGGCCCAGGGGCGGGCGCTCCCCCGCGACACTTGCTCACGTCGGAGGGGCATATTTAACTTGGGACCGAGCGCCCGCTCGCTCGCAGACACGCTCACCCACGCGCGCTGTGTGCTTCGGCTCCGAGGAGGGGGCGCCGACCGACGCTCTCTCTCTCTCTCTCTCTTTCTCTCTCCCTCCCTCCCTTCCTCCCTCCCACCCTCCCCCCTCCCTCTCTCTGGCGCTCCCGCACGCAGTCGCCACTCGCCAAGCGGGGGAGCTTCTGTGGTAGCCGCCGGAGCAGGAGGAGAAGCGGGATTTTGCTTGCAGCCTTCCTCTCGCCATGCGTGACGAGGAGCTTCCCTGCGTGGGCACGACGCCTTGAAAAGGGCAACTCTCAACTCTTTGTGCGTCTTCTCACGTGGAATAATAAGAGCAAGCTATATTTGGAGCCTTGCCTTCTCTGGGGGAGCGAAATGGGCTTTTGACCGGCTGGAAGGAATACTTTTGAATGCGTGTGTGAGCGTAAAACGAGCGAGCGCAGCGGGCACGGCGGTGCGCAAAAAAATCAATTAAAAGGGGAAAAAGGAGGGAGGAGAAGAAAAAAAAAAACCCGCAAGGGCGGGGGCAGCCCAGGGTAGCCCTCATTGCCGGGCACCTTTTGGGAAGCGGCTGGTGCGCTTCCGTGCAATCTCCGTCATCCGGTGACCGTTTGGCTCGGAATCGCCGTCGTCGTCGTCGCAGCGGTAACCATGGCAACCGGGAGGACCCCCGAGTGAATCGAAGCAGGCGGCGGAGTCCAGGCGTCGTCCCGATCTCCCACCCACGGGCTTTGTCTCGCAATTTCTCCCGAGGGAAGGCCGCCGGCGGCGGAGCGCCACGCGCGGTCGGCTTCCGAGCGCCGATTGATGAAGTGACGAGCGTCGGCGGCTGCGCGCGCAAGAGTCCCCCCCCGTCCCGCCCGCCCCCGCGACATGGGCGGCCCTCGGCCTCCGCTGCTGCTCTGCGTGCTGCTGTGCGCGCACGCGGGCCTGTGCCAGCACTACCTGCGGCTGCGGCCGTCCCCCAGCGACCACCTGCCCGTGTCCGACCTCAAGGAGGACCCCGACCCGGACTACGACCCCCGCGAGCAGGACTTGTCCGAGAGGACTCTGAGGAAAAAGCTGGGCAGCCACTTCGACCCCAACTTCATGTCGGTGGGCGCGCCGGCGGCGCCGGGCAACCGCTCGGCGGCGCCGGACGTCAAGCCGCAGGGGCCCGTGCCCAACGAGCTGAAGAGGCTGGAGCTGGGCGAGACCCCCTACGGCAAGCGCGTCAAGGTGGGCAAGAAGGCGCGCAGGAAATTCCTGCAGTGGCTGTGGACGTACACGCACTGCCCCGTGGTGTACGCCTGGAAGGACTTGGGCCTGCGCTTCTGGCCGCGCTACATCAAGGAGGGCAACTGCTTCTCGGAGCGCTCCTGCTCCTTCCCGGAGGGCATGTCCTGCAAGCCCGTCAAGTCCGTCAACAAGATCTTCTTGCGCTGGTACTGCCAAGGCTTTCTCAGGCAGAAGTACTGCACGTGGATACAGGTGCAGTATCCCATCATCTCCGAGTGCAAGTGTTCGTGCTGAGCCTGCGACGAGCCGGACGGACGCACGGACGGACGCACGGACACGCGCGTGTCCGTGCGCGGAGCGGACCGCTTCCCGTTGCGCTGTGAACTCTCGACGGAGGTGGGCACCAGAGCAAATCTATTTTTTTATCTGCCGTTTTCAAAAGTCAAATGCCGACAGTGTACATATTTAAGAGGAATGCGGCGACTTTGATTTCCCCCCCCCCCCCATTTGAACCAGGACCATATTTTATTGTCGTTTTGGATAGAAGGGGGCGGGGGTTGCAGCACCTCATATGGAAGAGACATTGATGATGCATATATGCTACACCTCTCCGACAGGTGAACTTTTTTTTTTTTTTCTCAACTGACTGTTAATTCACTGCAATGCTGCCCAGAGTTTTTGTATATTATCAATATTAAGTTGGAAAAAACACAAAAAAACTGAAATTGAGGTGAAAGATTATATAAAAGCGTGAACTCAGCTTTTTTTTTCTTTGAGGAATACATAGTATATTAGAAATGAACAAATCTGTACGTTTTATTTATTATTTTACCGATTGTGAGTATAGAACATAAGGACAGAGACTAGCGGAATATACCGGCAAAAAAATGATGGGAGACGTCTACTTGAATTAGCCCCCAAAAAGACGCAGAAATGAACAGCTGAAAACAGTGTACATGTTGTGGTCACGTTTGGAGCAATAAAGTCCATGTTTTCATCCTGCATGTGCTTTTAGTGTATGTCCATGTGGTCATCCACCCTGCGGG